AGCCATAGTTTTCTTTTCTCGTTGTTGGTGTGACTTGCCTAGGAAATCATTCAGGACTGTTTGTATTTAATTACAAAAATAAAGTGTTTTATTTCTTGTTGTAATGTCCCTGTACTTTTGCAAAAAGGCTCTTTGTAAAACTCCAACCCTCAAAGAACTTTTTCCTATTTAAGAACTAGCCACTCAATCTTTTTAGGGCCACAGACTACTCTGGAAACACAATGGAAGTTGTAAATGGATCATCGTGCCCTAGAAAAATGTGCAGTCTGCCTGGTGACAGGGATTTACAGCCCCACCTCCAGCGCTGGCCCCGGGTGATCTGGGGTCATCACCGGCTTATGGGCTGCGGGAGGACGGCCAGGTCAAGGCTGAGAGCCGTAGTAACAGTGCCGTCTCCAAGGGCTGTTGACGAGGACAGGTGTCCACCTGGATGATGTATTTGGGGCAGCGCCTGCAGAGAGCAGGCACCTTCACTTCACATGTTTATCTGTCCAGGGCCTGCTCTGGGCCGGGCAACAGGTGGAGATGTGCAGACATGGCGATGGTCGGGGTGAAAACGGACGCAGCCCTGCCTGCCCTGGGCAGTCATGTCCCTCTGTGATCTCTGAGCCTCACGTTTCCAAGAGCAGATGTTCAGATTCTGGAGTTTGTAGCCAGATGTGGCTGGACCCTGTGCTGACAGGAGATCTGGCTTCCTATGCAGTAAGCCCCTGGCCAGGTAGGGGTGCTGGTCTCTGCAGGTGGCCTTGTTGGCATGGACGCCCCCCAGGCCAGGGCTGATGGCTGTCTTAGCCACTAAGGCCAGGCTTGGAGGAGGCACTGAGGAGACACCGGGATGTGCTCTTTTCAGAATAAGGTTCTCGTTCGCCCAGAACGGGTTTCCTAGCAGGTGGGCCAAGCCACCTTCCTCCTTCCTCCAGCTGTGGCTGGTGGCAGAGGCAAACGCAGAAGTAACAGCTTTACCCCACCCCCATCTCCTCCCCTGGACCCTGCATCCTGCAGGTGTGTTCTCTCCACCCTGTGCCAAACCAAAGTTTGGCCATGGGATGTGTGCTGGGGGCCAGGAGCTACACCCCGACAAGGGGGTGAGGATGTCAGTGGGGGCGCATCTGACCTTGGCCCACTGTGGCCCAAGGTGTTGGTGTTGGGAGCTTTTGGACAGAGGCACCAGACGGGAAGAAGGGAGGAGCCTGTGGGGGCGAGGTGGAGAGCTTGTTGGGCAGGGACGTGGGCCCGAGAAGGCTGTGGGCCCCAATCCCAGGCACAGGATGGAGAAAACTGCTCTTTGAGAGGCTGGATGTTCCAGGAACTCATTGTGGAGACACCAGAGCAGCCAGCGCAGCAGTGGGGGCATGGGTTCGTGGCCTAAGAGCCGGGCGCATCTCGAAACCAGAGGGAGGAGCAGCCCCCAGGTGGGGTGGCGTGGGATGAGGAGACCCTAACGCGGTGATGGGCACGCTGAGTGGGCTGGTAGGTTTTCTTGGGATGTGGCTGGTCATCTGTAGTCCCCACGTCAGCAGGACTTGGTCCCAGGCGTCCCTCGCACACCCATGGAGGTGACTGTGTAGGAACAGGACGAGGGCGGCAGGTGGGGGGCGAAGACCACCCTCAAGGTGCGGCTGGGTGGGGCCAGGACAGCCTCTTCAGGGCGCTGACGGTCGACCATCAGCCGCATCAGGAGCTGGTTGGACCAGGTTATCCCAAGGGCTGGACACACCCGCTCTCCCCTGGCACTGAGACAGAAAACAGGCCCCACTGTTACCTTCGAGACCACGGAGGCCCCGATGCTGCCCTCCTTCCTGCCCGTGGGCAGCCCCACTCACCCAGGCAGCCCGGCAGCCGCTCCCTGCTCCTCTGTGGCCTCCGTCACCTGGAAGGGCCGGATCAGGGTCAGCTCTGCTGGCTCTGCCCCAAACCCCCATCCTGAGCACGGGGCGGGGTGGAGGGGGTGTTGGCCGGCCCACCTGGTTAATGCACAGTATGGGGCTCCGGAAGGTGCAGCTCAGCCGGCGCAGCTCAGCTCCCAGCACTTGCAGACACTGGGCCCTGTGGGCCGAAGCCGCACCGTCAAACTCACAGCGGAACGGGGCTGCCACAGAGTCCACGACCACCAGGCGGGCCATGCCCCGCGACAGCAGCACTGGCACCCTCTTCCTCATGCAGCCCAGCAGGGTGTCCTGGAGGCCAGGGGAGGTGGCTGTCACTGCCAGCGCCAGAGGGCCCCTCCCATCCTCATGTCCCAAGTCCCTGGCAGTCTGACCCCGCTCCCCCTTGGGGCCATCAGTGACTGGGTCTGACCAGCTGGACTCAGCCGCATTGCCAGGGCTGGCCTGTCACCCCCACCCAGCGGAGGGACACATGGAGATCGGAGTCCGTCCTGCATCCGGGGTCATGCCCACTGAGACGACCTGGGCTGTATCCTAGGACACCAAGCAGGGTCCGGGGTGGGGGCTGCAGGCATCCCTGGGCCAGCCCTGCCCATCTACCAATGCCCTAAGTGCTGTTCTCAGGGAGCCCAGGCCTAGCTGGGGGGCAGAATGGCTGGGCTCCCCAGGGGGCAGGGCAGAGGGCCCTCAGGTGCCCAGCGGCCAGACACTGGCCATCCCATCCAGCACTCTTAGGGGCTGTTGAGTGCCTGCTTCCTTGACCTGGAATAAAGTTCAGTTCTGTGCTTAAATCTGCAGGGCGTCTCCAGTGGAGCCTCTCTCTGTGGAGAACGACAGCGGCAGCAGTGGCCTGGAGGACGCCAGCCTTAATGTGAGTGCCCCCAGCCACGCAGGCGGGCGGCCAGGGACAGCAGGGGCCAGGCCAGTGGTAGCCATGCCCACTTGCAGGGCTGGGACTCCGAGAGGGGCCCAGTGCGGAGACCCTGGGCCCCAGGAGGTGGAAGGGGGACCAAGGCCCTGGGGGGGCTCGTTTGTGCAGAAGCAGCAGGCTGAGGTCTGCACCTCCCTCCTCCCCTAGCAGCCCCCCCACTTCTAGGCAGACATCAGCAGGAGGGTGGGGGCCACCTCCCTACGAGCCGTTTCCAGAACAAAACTTGGAAATGGCACTACCGGGACTTGGCAGGCCTGGCCCTGACCCACTGCCTTCCTTTGCAGTGAAGCTGCGCCCTGCCCTGGAAAACCCAGGACAGAGCTGCCCACTGCGTCCAGAGCGGCCCTGTGACAGCCGGGAATGGTCGCCGAGGCTGGAGGGCCTGGGGCGGGGAGCCCACACCCCTAACTAAGCGTCTCCTCCTGTGTCCCCGCACCCTGCGCACCATCATACCAGCAGCCACACTGCTGTCAGGACGCACTCGCTCGCAAAGCCACAGCCACGCTGGCCCCTAGCGGCGGGCTGGGCCGGCGCTGCTGCCTCCCAGGAGGGGCTGCTGCCTGGGCCACTGCTCGTCGTGTTCTTCTGCGTGCTATGTGTGATCATGTATTTTATTGTAAAATTTTTTAAAATTAAAAGTTTATAATCTTATTCTTTACTTGAAATTCTTTTCGTAACAGTTCTTAAGCTGGGGGAGGTCCCGGGGAGGGGAGCTTCACAGACTTACTTTCGGTGCACTGGCCTGTCCTCTGTGTCCCATCTCCCCTCTGAGGGCCCTGCCTTCCTTACTTGGCCCCCCACCCAACAGCGACCTCAGCTGACCGCTTCCCCTGTGCCTGCCTGCCTCCTGCCCCCTCCCCGAGGGCTACTGCCCCCACTACCTGTCCACGGGGAGGGCATGTGACTTGGGAGCAGCTTCCAGGTGTGTCGCCCCAGAGGCTCAGCCAGGCCAGTCGCGCTGTTGTCTGATGGGCTGGTCCGGGCTGGGTGCCCACTGGGCCTGGCCAGGTGGGGGCCCCAGCACCTCGACAAGAGACTTCACCCCCACCAGAGGCAGCGGTCACACCCACAGGACCACTCCTTCTGGGCAGTGACCTGGACAGCAGGTCCTGTCCTCCTCTGGGCAGTGGTCACCTCTGTGACGGGGTGAGCCCTTGCCTGTTGCCGCCTTTTCTAGGGGACGGAGGGGCTTGTTCGGGCAGGAGGTGGCGTGTCACGTTCCTGTTTCCTTCTGGGGGAGGCTGACAGAAATACAGGTTGCCCAGTTCAACCTGAGGTTCAGGTTGGAGTACTGCTGACAGAACGGGGGCTCGTGTCCACCAGGCCGTGATTCCTGCAGACCAACTGCATGTGCGCGTGTCACACCGGGCCGACTTTCCGCAGATACTCACCACGTCGGCTGCGTGCTCAATGAAGATCTGGTTGCCAAACTTGATCTTCTCGACCACGTGCTCGGGGACGTCTGCCCGCAGGCGCTGCTGCTGAGCGATGAGCTGCTGAAGACGCCGGCTGGGGAAGGCGTCCTCCGTGCAGACGTACACGGCCCCTGCGAAGCCAGAGTGTGGTGAGCAAGCTGTGAGGCCTCCTTCCTTTCTAACGCCGCCCCTCGCGGGGCCTGCCCTCCGACAAGGATGGGGGCCGGCTGGTGCGGGCCTCCCACCACAGCCCCCTCGCCAACAGGATGTCACCCTGTGGGTCTGCCCCCGGGCTGTCTCAGGTGGAAGAAGTGGAGTATCAGGGCCTCCTGACTTTTGGAAATGCCCCTCCCGCAGACGTAGGGAGCTGCCCCTCCGAGGCTCTGTTGGGCAGATGTTTCCTCAGTTCCACCATCAAAGCTCCTCCTGTGATTCTGGGCTACAAGGGTAACTGCTGCCCCTGGAAAAGCTAGTAAACAAAAAATAGGTGACACGTCACCAGGAACCTGGAACCCCCACCGGAGATGGACCCAGAGTCCTGCAGCTTAAAAGGACCAGGGGCATCTGCAACAAGCAGTGTTCACAGCAGCTGACTGTCAACAAAGGCCCCAGGACAATTCAGTGGGGAAAGAGTAGTCTTTTCAACAAATGGTGCTGAAACAACTGGACATCCACATGCTAGAGAATGACTTAGACCCTAACCTCACACCATGTATGAAAATGAAGTCACAACGGATCAGATGCAGGAGCCCAACCGTAAAACTCTCAGAAGGAAACACAGGGGTACATTTCATGACCTTGGATGAGGCAGCGGAGTTGCAGACATGGGTGCAAAGGCACAAGTGAGGAGAGATGGGAACAGGACGTCAGCAAAGCGAAAACTTCCTGCTTCAGAGGACAACATCGTCAAGATGATGAAAGACAACGTTCAGAAGGAAGCAACACCGCAAATCATGTATCTGATGAGAGTCTAGCATCCAGATTGTGTAAAGCTCTCCTATAACTCAACCACAAAAAGACGACCCAAGCTTTTCAATGGGCAAAAGATCTGAACAGACATTTCTCCAAATGGCCAACAGCACACAGAGATGCTTAACACATCAGTCATGAGGGGAACACAGCCTCACACCCACCAGGACGGCCAGCATCAAAAAGCCAAGTGCCTGTGGGGATGGGGAGGGACTAGGCCCTCCTACACTTGTTGACAGGAAGTAAGATGGCGCAGCCGCTGCCAAAGACAGCCAGGAAGTTCCTCAAAGAGCTAAACATGCAGCTACCATATGATCCAGCAATCCTCCTCGGTGTCCTGTCACCGAAAGCCACCAGTAAACAAAAGGTGTGAAGGACCCAGATGCCCGTCAACAGAGGAATGGGTAACTCAGTTGTGGTCGATACACACAGTGGAATGTTGCTCAGTCATAAAAAGGAGTGAAGTAGTGACATGTGTTCCAATGTGGACGAACCCTGAAAACGTTACACTGAGACACAGAAAGTCATGTGATTCCGTCTATTTGAAAAGCCCAGAACAGGCGAATGTGCAGAGACCAGAGCAGATGGGGGCTGCTCGGGGCTGGGGAGGGAGAATGGGGAGTGACTGCTTAATGGGGACAGTTTCCTTTCTGGGTGAAAAAAATGTTCCAGAATTAGATCGTAGTGATGGCTGCAAGCTTTGCGAATGTACTGAAAACCGATGAACCGTAGACTTGAATGAATTTTATGGTATGTGAATTATGTCTCAATTTTAAAAGAAGAAGAAAGACCAGTGATCTGGCTGAGCCCCGGACTCGCAGGGCCACGCTGAAGTCCTGTTCCGGTCACTGCCCGGCCCTGGGAGCGGGGGGACACGAAGAGACAGCAGCGCCCACGCTGCGTCTGCGTGTCCTGCTGGGAGTGGGCCTTTCACTTTGATCTAATTCTGTTTCAACGCAATTTCAACCTTGGTGAAGAGGAGACGAGACCACCCCCCACCGTGCCTGACCCTGTCGGTGGTGAGCTCGTGACCCCCAGCCCTTCCTAAACCTTCTTGGCGCGTTCCAGGTCTTTCCTGGGGGCAGTGCTGCCTGGGGAACACCCCTTGTCATGCCGCCAGGGCAGCCCTGAGTCACCCTGTTCTCCACATCCCGGGGGAGGGGGCTGGACGGAAGGTTCAGAACTGAGCCTGCCTCCGCATGCGTGGTCCGCCAAGCCCCTCCGCCTGCTCGATGACCCTCACCCCCACATCTCATTAGGGGAGGTGTGCGGGGCACTCGCCACGCTGCCCCCAGCCAGCAGGGGGCCTGCGCTGTTGCTGAGATGGCTTTGAGAAGCTGGTGGGAAGGTGGCCCTGGCCCAGCTCCACATTTTCTTAAGTGCAGGATTCAAACTAACTCCGAAGCCACTCGGCCATTATTGTCAAAATTAGGGCTTTCAGACCTGATTTAGGGAAGCCACTTTCTCAAGAAAACATGCATTGGACCCAACGTTTAACGTGGTCACCGTGGCCGTGGGGCCTCCCTCCCGCCAGGCCACTGTGGGGCATCACCCAGGCCTGGCTCTCCTCTTCCCTCACGCCCCACTCCCGTGCCGAGGGCTGCATCTCTGCGAACAGATACTGGTCCTTGCCCGCCCTGCTGGCTCTTCTGCCCAGGACCTCACTGGTCACTTGGGAGCCTGGGGCTCCCAGCCTCATGTCCACCGGCTCTGGATTCCCAGGGTCCTTGCCCACGTATGACAGGTGTGGGAAGGTCCACAGAGGAGGCAGGCACAGCTGGGAGCATGGCCTCGGTCTCCCGGTGGAGTCCAGGTCACCAGCAGGGGTTGCCAGGAATCCATGTGAGGTGACTGTTACCAAGAGGGGAGACCCCGGGTTGCATGGTGGTAACGGGGGTTGGGGGAGGCCCTCCAGACCAGCTGTGGACGAGGCGGCCACATGAGCTGGGATCGGGAGAGCACAAAGGCAGGGTCCCGAGCTGGGGCATGAGGGACCAGGCTTTACCAAGGGATGTTGTCAGGGCACTGGCATCGGCGGGTGGGGGGCCCAGGCCCCAAGCAGCTCTGAGGACCGGCCCTGCGGTGCCCCTTACTTTCTCCCGGCGAGTCAGCACCTGCTGTGTGCCTGGCGCACTGTGTACAGAACACGGACGCTAATGGGTGACTACACCAGTCACGGTCCAAGGAGAAAACTGGGGTTCCCAGGGACCCCACTGGGCTGACACACCCAGATCACTGTAGGGTAAGAGGACCAGGCTCAGGAGCTTCAGGATGGAGGCTCCGCCTGTCCTACCACACCTGTCTCCCCTGAGAAGGCAGAGGCGGGAGCCCCAGACACACCGATCTAGGGGGACCCCATCCCAGTTGTGAGCAGGCGCAAGACTCATTTCACAGCAGCTCTTTTGGGGAGTGAACCCAGCATGCCCACTTTCAAGGTCACATCGGTCCACCCAGGTGCCGGGTACCTGCCCTCAGGCCTCCACAATGCCTGCCTCTGGTGTGAGCGCCTCCACTTCCGGCCAGGAGACCCACACTGAACCCTGCGCACCAGGTCTGGGGACAGATGGCCTGGCGGGCAGGGAACAGTGAGGATGCATGTAAGTTTCAGAGGGCCCGAGGAGCCTCATGCCCACTCTGGTTCTCACACGATGAAATGGTTTTTAACATCTAAGGACGCCTTGGAAATGCTGGGACCCCTGAGACCCTGGCCCGGCCAGCCCCCTGCCCTCGGCTCCTTCTTGGGAAGAGAAACGCGACATCCGGTGTGCTCCGGCCCCGCGGGTGTGTGGGGGAGCCTGCGGGTCGGGGTGCGGCCAGGTCCACGGCCCCGGGACCCTGCGCTCAGCCGGCGGGGGCTCCTCGGGGTCGACCCCTCCCCGACCCTTCTGAAGCAGGAACACGGAGCAGACGCGGAGAGACGGGAACTTGTAACGCCGGGACACCCCCCCGGGGACGCCTCCGAACACCTCGGATCGGAGTCAGCGCCAGGCAGGGGCCCCCAGCCCCCACCTGCCCTCCCAAGCCAGCGGCCACTCACCGGCCTCCAGGCCTCCGTGGCGCTGTGGGAACTGCACCGCCAGGCAGAGCTGCAGCGCCAGCTGGGTCTTCCCGGCAGAGCTGCAGCCGGCCAGCTCGGTGATGCCGTCCAGGGGCAGCCCGCCGCGGAGGAGCCTGTCCAGCACGGGGCAGCCCAGGCTGAGGCGCTGGTGCTGCTCAGGGAACCGCTCCTTCTGCTGGTACAGGTGGAGCGCTGGGGGCGGGGAGGGGGCATGAGTTGGCAGGAGGACGGGGGGCCCCAGTCCTGCAGGGAGCCCGGGACAGGTCCCTCCAGTTGCGGAGCTCCAGTGCTGCAGGCCCGTGGGCTCTGGGCTCATCCCGGCCTCCCATGCCCCTCAGCCCTCTCCCCTGGCTCAGGAACCACCCCTTGAGCGAGGCCCCCATGGCCCTGCACTCTCCCCTGTTCTGGACGCTGTGACCTCGGCCCCACAGCCTGGAGCAGCAGAGCGGCCATGGGGTCTCCCTAAACCCCAGGACCCGCACCTGTGGACATGCTGCTCCCCCGTAGGTGTGAGGAGGCTGTTCTCAGCAAGTACTGCACATCAGGGCCCGAGAGGCTGGTCACTCTCTGCAGGTCTGGCCCAGAAAAACGCAGAACCTCCTTTACTGATTTCAGTTTGGCTGAAATTACACAAATAAGTAACAGGACGAGCACAGTAGCACACAGCAGCAGAGCAGTGACAACAGGGGCCTCCCAGCTCTGGGAACACGGTGGGCGGAGGGCCGGATCAGCCTGCTCCCTGAAGTTGCAGGAATCCTGGGCAGGATGTGATGACATCTGGACAGAAGGGAAGGGGCCTGGGGGAAGCCCCCTCTCAGCTACAGCAGAAGACAGGCACATAGGGGGCCTCTGCCCGGGTCTGTCCCTGAACACACCCCTCAAGAAAGGCCTGCGTGTACACAAGCCAGAGACGGAGACCAGGGCGCGGGTGAGTGTAGGGGAGCCACACCCGGGGAAGGGGCTGCGAAGGGACCCATCTGACGCCTACTGAACCAAGGGGCTGGGAACGCGGGACGGGGGGCAACAAGAGGAGAGAGGGGCTAAAGCACCTGGGAGGGAGGGTGACGGGGTAATGTGCCCGAGGGGCTGGTGTTTTGGGAGGAGAGTGAATAAACTAATTTTGAGCTTAGATAAGACTATTACTTTCAAACAAGGAAAAACAAAAAAAAATGCTAAAAATATATCCAACCAATCCAGAAGCAGCCAAAAAAAGAGAACCACAACCACGAAAAAGAAATAGGACAAACAGCTCAGCATAACGAGGGAGAGCTAAGCCCAATTTATCAGCAATTACCTTAAATCCATACACACTGAACACTCTGGCTAAAAGACAAGGATGGTCAGACTGGATAAAAGGAAAAACTAAACCAAACTACTGATATGCCCTGAAAGAAACAACAGCTAAGCCTGGAGGGGCAGGACATCACCCCACTGCTGCACTCGCCCCCACGCGCACTCAGTGCTCCCACCATGCGCTCAACCAGCATCAGGATGTTGGAAATTCATGTTAACATTAATTTAAAAAAAGTTCTTTCATTTAAACACACACACACACACACACTGAAAAGCCTGCAGCACATTCCAGTCTCAACGCTCTGACTGGGATCAATCGTCTTGGGAAGGAGTAAGCAAAGGGAGGGTCCTCGAGCCTGGATAGACAAGCTTGTAAACACGTCCTGTATGGAGCATGGTGTGCACGTTCGTACTTTTCCATCATCATTTTGTATAAGTATCAGTAAACATACCTTTCTTCACTGCAGCAATAATTCTGGGATTCAGGTCCAACTGATCTAAATCCATTATCTTCAGCAGGGTGACCAGAAAGACAGATATCACCTCCCGGGGACAGTGATTCCAACACACTTGCTGTCACTCCGAGCCCAGGAGCCAAGTGCAAAGGAGTGTCCGTGGCCCGGGTGTGCGATCCCTTCTGTGACTGGGGTTCACCATCGGCCCAGAGGTTGGAGAGACTTCACTGTACCAGGAACACCGCTGATAAGTCTAGGGCAACCCTTCTGCAGGCCAATTAACTCAGAAACCTTGGACTCAACGCCCACACACACATGCATTTGAAGAAATCCCCCAGCCCCCTGCATTCTGACGGTCAGCCCATTTCATCCTCTGCAGAAGAAGAGAAAGGAGCACCTGTCCCAGCCTCACCCTCGCCGGGCCCGGGGTCCAGGTGAGTACCCTGCCCTGACCCACTGCTCTGGGGCGACGCTGGGGACCTGTGTGCACTGGGCTCACTCAAATGAAGTGGGTTTTACATCCTTCAGTTTAAAGTTCCTGAAGTGTGTCTCCATGGGACTCCATCTGGAAAGAGTGGAAAAAGGGAGTGGAGAATATTGAAGGACAGGAAGTCGGAATGTCTGTGACCACTAGGCTGCTTCGGCAGAGAACAATGGAGGCTGTGGCCCGCAGCCCTCAACCCTCACCAGGCAAGCCTGTGGTGGCCCCCTGGTGGAAGGGCCCCTCCCATGGCCCGAGCACGCAATTCTGTGGGAGCCCAACGCTGCTGGCTACCTCGGCAAGTCACCCGGTGTTCCAGCGTGGCCCACCAAGAAGTGAAGCAGGTAAGGGATGCCCAGGCCGGCAGCCACTCAGGCCGGATCTGGGGTCAGCGTCCAGCAGCAAGGCCTGGCGCCCTGGGGGCTCGCAAGGCCAAGAGGAGGTGGCACACTGTGGGCTTTGCCTTCAGTGCCTGGGATACCGTACTGACGTAGACACTATCAGGTTGTTTTTGAGACTTCCAGAACTAGGCACCAGCACTCTCTGCTTCACACAGTCTGGTCAGGGAGACAGGGCTGGCAGGGGCGATGGGCAAGATGCCCAGAAAAGGCCAAATTGCAGCATCAGCTGCAGCAGGGCAGGGAACCACTGCCATGTGCTTGTGGGACCCTGGAGGCAGCTTCTGGGTGGAAGGAGCTGGGCGCCTGGGGGCTAGTCTCCTGCCCAAGCACAAGGCTCCAGGGCCCCGCAACCCGTGGGTTTGCCCAGCCAGCAGAACCATTTGGTCTCCACCCTCTGGTCTCCATAGGCTAACCGGCCTGGGGGTGTCCAGCTGCATTGGGAACAGCCCACTCTCAAGGCTGGGCATGTTTTCTGGCTCCCCCCCAGAAGAGGGCAGCAATGAGCACTCCTTCACCCTAGGCTGCTGGGTTTCACCCGGACCTTGGGTGGCCACACAGGTCCTCTCACACCTGGGCCACCACTGTGGTTTCTCCAGAGCTGCCCAGCCCAGACTACTGGGCCCCCTCCCTTCTCAGGACCCTCTTATTCGTCTGGGAACCTCTTCTCTTTTCAGCCCCTGTAGCTTTGAGCTCTCCCCACTCCGCAGTGCCTCCCCCACACCCGGGTGTCCAGCAGACCCCTGACTTGGCCGTCCTCATGGACCAGGGCGTCCCGCAGATGCAACCTGCCACCCACGCACACCTGCTCTTCCCACTCAGCGCTGCATCCCCGTGGTCGTCCACCTGCCACCCTTGACCCTACCCTCTCCCTCCTCTAAAACCCGGTTCACCGTTCACCCCAGGGCCCCTGGCCTGCTGCCACGGCCCGAACTGGCCCCGCAGCTGGGCGGCCTCCTCCAAACCCTGCGAGCT